TTTAAAATGTATTGACCTGACCCTTACCTTGGTTAACTTCTTTATATGTATTGACCTGACCCTTACCTTGGTTAACTTCTTTAAAATGTATTGGCCTGACCCTTACCTTGGTTAACTTCTTTAAAATGTATTGACCTGACCCTTACCTTGGTTAACTTCTTTAAAATGTATTGACCTGACCCTTACCTTGGTTAACTTCTTTAAAATGTATTGACCTGACCCTTACCTTGGTTAACTTCTTTAAAATGTATTGGCCTGACCCTTACCTTGGTTAACTTCTTTATATGTATTGGCCAGACCCTTACCTTGGTTAACTCTTTTAAATGTATTGACCAGACCCTTACCTTGGTTAACTTCTTTAAATGTATTGACCTGACCCTTACCTTGGTTAACTTCTTTAAAATGTATTGGCCTGACCCTTACCTTGGTTAACTTCTTTATATGTATTGGCCAGACCCTTACCTTGGTTAACTCTTTTAAATGTATTGACCAGACCCTTACCTTGGTTAACTCCTTTGAAATATATTGCCAAACCCTTACTCTGATGAAGTTCAAAGTTAAATTTGATGGTTTGTTCAACCAACATTCATGAATATTTTAGGTTACAGTTTCTGAATGTACAGGAAATTAATCAATTCTGTTAATAATAGTAGTAATATTACACTGGTTCTTCTTTCATTTTGTCATGAATTAATTATAATATAATATAATGCTAAGAGAAAATAGAAAACAGTTTTTGATCAGTTATTGAACAGAAAAAAACAACTGATGACCTTGTTTCCATGGAAACCATAAAAGTTTGCATAATACATTCTAAGATAGTGTGATATTTACATAATACATCCTTCAAAATGTGAGATGTTTACAAAATACATGCTATGGGTGTAAATGTGTGATATTTACACAATAAATACTGCAAATGTATGATATTTACACACCAGTAATACATTCTCCAAAATTATGATTTTTACAAAATATGTACCTTATAAATGTGTGATGTTTACAAAATACACACTACAAAAGAATTTGAATAATATCACCAATCCTCAATTTATTTATTTTATTTGGGAGATGATACCAGTAGCACATGTACGTATGTTTCAGTTTTAAAAAAACAATCAACAGATATAAAATGCTAGCTAACTGGGCACCAACAAATCTGAGTTATTGTAATAATAGTGGATGAAGGAATTCAAGATGTACTTGGCAATTCCTTTTTATCTAAAAATCAATTTTTGTTACAATACTCAGATTAATTATTCAAGTATTCTGAGAATACATTAATATGTTTCAGTATCGGAAATACCGCATGCACTTAGAACAGTTTTATGGTGATCAATATTTAATATATTCAGAAAATAGGATTGAAAGTAATTGTGGAACTTCATTTATATTGCATTTTTTTTGGCTGCAGGGAATTTAATCTCGTCATACACATTGTATTAACTTTACAGATTCTTTTTTAGTCTTATAGCAGGGATCGTGGATCGGCCTCATTTCGGGTTTCATTCGCGTATATCTACACATACATGATAAGTTTCTCAAAGAACAGGAAAGAAATTTATTTCCGAGGCATTTCCGGTACATGGATTTAATTGTCTGTTGTCATGGTTACACATCGCATGTTTTATAGTATGTTGTCGAGTTAAGCATGTCTGACAATGACGAGAGTTGGAATCGAAATGTCTCCGTAATCGGATCAGTCATGTGTCACCTTACAACTGAGTTTTGTCAGTTGAATTTTAATTGCTATCTGATATTTCATTTATGTGGTTAGCAGGAACCCAGCTTCAACATTTTGTGTAGCAGTGATCGATTCAGTGGATCAGTAAGCCAGCCAGCGCTTCAAGCGACTATCGATAAGTTTACTGTTATATCAGGAATATTTATATAAAAAAAATGTAACGGTAATGCAGAAGATTGCGTGCTAGTCGTAACATGTAGGAAACAATATTGAATTGGTAATTCTTGTTTATTATCAAAATATTCATTTAAAAAGTTCTTCTATAGATCACATTTTCCAACTTAATGTTTATGTATAATTTAGTTTCAATTAAAAAAAAAACCCATAATCGTTTAAAATGAATATTTACTTAACAAAAAGTTACATGTCTTTGTTGTTAAGTATACATAATGCTTTCCTCCCCCGAGGACACTGTAATATTATTAAATGTTAACGATAACTTGACAGTTCATATGTTTACTATTATAGAACTTTTTCTATCACAATCATTCACATTTGTTTGTGGCATGTTATATTTTATATTGAAATGATATTTAATTTAGGAAATTATTAAACTGTTGCTCAGTCTCATTTATTACCGGTACTTGTCTTTTTGCTATGATTAATTATTTTTTTCAACCTTAACAGCTAATATGCAGCACCCTCATAAGGAACCCCCAAAACATCATTTCGAAAAATCTATTTTTTTTTTTTTTTATAGCATTCAACTTTTTGTGCAATTTCATTGTTAGTGTTGCCTCTACTAATTTATAGTGAATTCATAGCTACCGTAATTATTAGCAGAATGGCTAAAAGGAAGTTTCTCGAATTAAATGAATGACATGTCAGATTTATAATGCTTAAACTTATGACATGTTCAGTTTAGCTGTAAGTAGTTTAGTTTCCTCAAACATGCACGCTTATATAAAGTTGAAATGACACTCAATAAAAAACATGTAAACACAATACATGTAACGAGACAAGTTTTCCGTTTATAGATCCACTATAAACAACTCTCTGCTGTGAAAATTTATGTAGATATTATTTTTGACAGTGAAATAACCATTGATACGATTTCAATAATGATACTTAACTTCTTTAACATGGATATTCAAGCTTGTCACGTGATCATCATGTGACTATCACCTGACATATTATAAATCTGTTTGATTTCCAGCTTGAATACTAGAACCAAAATGAAGCTTGTAGACATATGTAACGGGTTGGAAGACCCCACAGATAAGTGGGAGTTAATAGACTCAATTGGAGAGGGAACTTACGGGGAAGTCTTCACAGCAAAAAATAAAGAAACAGAAGAATTGACAGCCGCTAAAAGTAAGTTATTTTGTGAAATAGTTTTTTTTTCACCATGTGCCAACAAGATTTCCTTTATTTTTTTATTAAACTTTCACAGCCTTTGATTGATTTAATTATGTTGAATTAATTATACATTCATGTGAATATCAAATACGCCATTTTGAAACAAAAGACATCAACCTTACATCGGCCAATTGAATTGCTTTCTTCCGTAGATGCAGCCATGTACGAATCACAGTTCTAGTGACTTCAAGATGTGAAGAAAATTAAATTCCCATATTTTTCAAGAGAACTAATTTGTTTTGCATTGCATAATTTTCAACCCATTCAATAGCAATATTATGACTTTAGATGTCTAGTTTGACAGTCAGGGACAATAATGATGTGGAGAATCAATTCACTGCACTCTTTACATCAAGGAATAGAAATGATGTTTACTTCCCTGCAGGTTAACAGTAAAGGCTGACCTCCTGACCTATTCAGTTCACAGTGTCCATTTAAATCCAATTGCTTTTTCATGTTAGATCCTGATTATTTTACTATGCTCCTAAATTTGGTTGTCATATTTATTTCTCAATATTTTTTTGTTATAATTAAATCAAAATAAGGGATACACATGCTATAGTAACCGTTTTTACCATTTATATACCTTGCAATCATTTTGAATTAAAAAAAAAAATTCACATCAAAATTCAGTTATTGATAGAGATGATGTACAAGCGACTATGCCGAATGTTTATTTTGTTTAGTTTGGAGCAAAGTTCCTATATGTATTTTTCATCTGGAATATTTTTTCCATTAATCTGTTGTATAGATTTATTTGTTGCTGTCAATTGTTTCAGCAGAATTGTTTTTTAAATCTACCCCCTCCAAGTCTCCAAGTCTTCACCTTAATTCCTATGCCTGTTAATACTCTTCTCCAGTAATGGATGCCAGTGCAGACACTGAGGAGGAAATTGAAGCAGAATATGGTATTTTCAAGAATCACTGTGTGCATCCTAATTTACCTAAGTTTTATGGTGCTTATTACAAAAAAACGCCAAGCGGACAGACCGACCAGATATGGCTGGTGATGGAGGTATATAACTCTCATCTTTGTTAGATCTGTCATTTTTTGATTTGAAGAAATAATATAATAATCACTAATATTGTAAATTACTTTCATGAATATTTTTAAATATTTGCTAGCAGAATTTTAGAGAAATGAAAAAAATAGCCAATTTCAAGAAAAAAAATTGCAAAATTAATTCCAAAGGAAAATAAAATACTCAATATATGCTAGTCAGGTATTGGACAATCTTTGTCATGTGACTTAGAATGTCGCATAACTATTAACCAGCCTGGATTTGAATTTGAAAAGCATCTTTCTATCATAAACATCTCTAAAAATTGCTTTAAAAAATACCTCTGTAAACTGAATAGTTATTCTAGTTTCTGTGGCATCTGGTTATTTCTAGTTGTAAATATCTGCTTATGTAATTGACAGAGGTGTGTCAGAGGTCAAACGAAGTCAGATTTTAATAATCCAATGAGTAAAAGCAATTTTTCGATTTATGTGCGCTTCTACGATAGCAAATATGTCATTTGTCATATTTAATGTGTTCTTAGGAACTGTATACTTAACATAACGATATACTACTACATATATGTAAGCATTCACCTGAAATAATGGGTACAATGAAATTAGAACTCTTAATGCATTCAGTCTGAACAGTGCAATTGCTTCTTATCCCAGTACTAATTATCAAACCATTATGAAATATTAAATCTTTAAGGCATTGTTTATGAACTCCAAACATAATCGGTTTATCACATTTAAATAGCAGCGTTCCATGATTGTTTAATTACAAATTTGGCTATAATCTTGATTTGGATACATTGCATTGTAAGATTTAATTCAATTTTTATTTTGATTTTGTCAATTCAGCTTTCTACATTAATGTTGATGTAGATTAGTTTCATTACACGTACTTACAAGACATGTTTTACCGTATTCAAACTGTTATCCATGTCGTGTACAAATTAACCAGAGATACTTTTATTTACAGTTCTGTCACGGTGGCGCTGTCACTGACCTTATTAAGGGAATGCTGAAACGAGACGAGAGGATGGATGAACGACTCATTGCATACATCATCAAAGAAACTTTAACAGTAAGAAAAATATAAATTTTTAAAAAGTACATTTTATGCTATGTAAGATTACAGGTGTGTAGATAATTTTAAAGTTATATCTAAAATATTAGTTGCTTTTTTTTCAAGGTATATTTAGTAAATTCACAGGAAAATCAAAGGGGTCATCAGAGAGCAAACTAATTGCATATGAAAATCATTCAACAGAAGATGTAGCTATACATTCGGGTTGGGGGGGGGGGTTAGAGCCAGATTAAAAAAAGAAGAAAAAAGTTCAAAGTAATAAAAAGAAAATTTCCACCAAATTATAAATATAGCTTCCATGCTCTCTGTAGCGGGAATAAAAGCTCAATCCTAAGCTAAGATTTTAGTTTTAGCATTTCATATATTTGCATATCATTTGAATAGCTTTTGAACATATTTGCGTAATATTCAAATTCATTTGCATATTATTTGAATACCACTTGCATGTCATTTGAATAG